TTTGGAAAAGTTTGCAAAATTATAAGAGTTTATGAGACCACAGTTAGTTAAAAGTAAATTAAAATTTTGAATTCCCCAGAAATACCAGCACAGGGTGAGATGGTACGAGCTGAACAGGAATCGAGTGTTCGGAACCCACAGCTGGAGGAGTGGCCGGCTGTCTAGAGAGGAGGTAGCCCAGCCGATGGTCACCGGCAAAGCCTGTTCCCACGATTTGCTGTGTGTCGGCCATCATTTCTGGCAGTATCTCCTACAGCAAACGCCCACACGGTATAGCCCAGGTGGTGACAAGCCCACTCCCAGGTTTATCTCCAGCAGAAAAGTGGACCTGGGTTTCTCAGACTATTTGAAGAAAATATTCCCAGATAGCCCCAAACTGGAAATATTCCAGAGGCCCTTCAACAGTAAAACGGGAACGGCATTGTGCTATGTGCATAGGGTAAAATCTACACAGCTGTGAGCTGTAATGCCACTGCCCGTGGTGCATCGAGTGGAAGGACCTAACAGACTACAGTGAGCCGACGGAAACACAGTATGCACCGCGAGTGCGTCCTCGGCAAGCCATCTGTGCCAAGGGAAAGGGCAGACCTGCTCCCCGATCGCAGAAGTCCGAACGGCGATCACCCATGAGACGGGAAGACCCTGGGCTGCTGGCGGTTTCCTCCTTAGGGTCAGGAGGTAATTACAGGAGTGCATTCACTTTGTAAACATGTGTCAATTTAATTTAACTCTGGTTACAAAAGGATTTGAAAGTTTTATTGCTAATTCCTGCATCTATAACAAATCAGGAGGAGACCTCTTTGCACAGAAGCTTACATAATATTTCTCCTAGTGTCATCTAGGGCAGAGAATCATTATTATTATTATCATTATTATGTCATCAGAAAAGTCATTTTTTTTATGTTTTTCTAAGCAAAAATGAGTGATTTTTCCGATGACTCAATATTTTTTATTTCTTCTCTCTGCTTTTAATGTTAACTAATATCTGTGGAACTATCTTTAAGTTAATTGGTTCCCCCTTTTTTCTGCTATAGGGCACGTGCACATCTAGAGAGAGACAGAGAGAGAAATAGAGAGAGAAAAAGTGAAAAATCATCCCCCAGGAGGGATGGCCACACCACAGTCCCTTCTCCTCCATTATCCTCTCAGGATCGTGGGCATGCATGCACATGTGCCTGGCGTGATTTTCAAGCCACTGGGTCTGATACGCAAGCCATGAAGTCTGCCATCTGGGATGCAGCTGCTTTAACCTCCACACCACCTGCTGGCCCGGGGCTGGGATGATTACCTCGCATGTTGTGCTAATTAATGTAGTCCCCACACAAGAGAATAATTTCATAGTCTCAAGTAGTTATCGATAATCACAACTCTTTGGGATTTAAGACAAAAGGGTATGTGGACTATGTCTGTGTACTTAAACCTCAGAAACACTTTGCTATAGGGAATCTCAGTATAACATATATTTCCCTAAACAACCTTCGGGGGGCCAATAGAGAAAACTTGGAAAAGCGACCTCTGGGGACCAGCAGATGTGTAATGGTTACATTGTGGGACTTCCACATAGTCCACCATGGATCATGTCCCAGACCCGGTGGATTAAAACTGACACCAGGCATGTGTGCGCGTGCACCCAAGATCCTGAGAGAAGGGATTGCGGCGTGGCATCTCCTGAGGTGGGAGGGGACAGGTGTGACTTCTCTCTGTCTGTCTCTCTGTCTCTCTGGCTAGCGCCCGTGCCCTAACGCAAAAATATCTCTCTAAAATAAAAATCTCCCTGTTGTAGTGGAGACCTGTCTATGTAAGCACTATATTTACCCAACCATATCTAGCTCCTGAAATTTAAATAAGGTTTTATTTCATCAATTTCTAATTTTCCTCACACTTTCAGATATGAGAAAGATGAGACACATTTAAACATTGATTTAAAGCAAAAAGAAAACAAGATTGAGGAATCTTTTTTGAGGCTGTGCTCTGCATATTTTGGCAACATATGGTAAGTCCCCGAATCATGATAGGAGACGTAGACTGCAAAAGCCTCACGGGTGAGCCTGCCGCGAGGAGGCCCGGTATTCTTGCTACCCTTATGTCCTTTGAAATAATATTGCACATAGTGATAACCTGCAAAGAGACCCTTGTTCGAGTATGGAAACAATTTATGCTCCCATTTTTTTTTTTTTCAGAGAGAGATTTTTGCTATGGGGCATGTGTGTGTACTCACTAGAGAGACAGAGATACAGAAAGTGAGAAATCACCCCCAGGGGGATGGCCACACCTCAATACCTCAATTCATTCTCCTCGCAGAATCTTGGACATGCATACACACGTGTCCAGCATGAGTTTTAAGTTGTCAGGTCTGGGACTCGAACCACAGTTGACTATCTGAGAGTCCAGTGACATAACTACTATAGCATGTGCTAGTCCCACTTCCAAATAATTTATGGTAATACCCAAATATATTAATTTACAATGTTTCACAATGTTTGATTGATTTTTTCCCCCCCAGAGGTTGTTGCCTTAGGGTGCATGCACCTGCCAGAGAGAGAGAGAAAGTGAGAAACACTCTCCTAGTGGGGATGGCATGCTGCAATCCCTCCTCTGTTCTCCTCCCAGGATGTGGGGACCACAGGCACAAACACCCTGTGTGATTGTGAAGCCGTCGGGGCTGGGAATCCAGTGATATAACCGCTATACCATCTGATGGCCTCTCATTGATGTTTAAAATGAGACTCGGTTAGGGAGAAACCACAGGTGGGTACTGCTAGACAAATTTGCACTGGGGGAACAAGGCACTGCACCGTCTTCCGGGGAGACCCAAGCCCGCAGCAGCGTGGAACAATGACCAGCCGGCACTCCGGGTACTGGCTCCTCTCCACCTGTGACTTTTTTCGCTGTAACATAAAAGCAAATCAATCGCAAATACGTTTTATTTTTAACCAAAAAAAGCAAAAACGACAGGAATCAGGGATTGAAACAAAGTTTGCTTTCAGACATAAAGTATGAATCCTTTCTTTCATCTTGAAAAGCGCACCTTAAAAAATGTCTCAATGTTGATGGGAAATTTTCTGTAGCCCTGGCTCTGTCCTTCCGTCTCCTGTTTGAACTCATGAAGTAAACTGTGTACACGAGTGACGTCAGAAGAGCAGACAGCCACACGGGACGCAATGTTGCAGAAGAGCCTTGCAGCTTTCTCAGTGCCAATCGGAATCGCTACGGGTGAGAACACCACGGCATCTTCCGGGAGAGGAGAATCTTCACGAGGACGTTGACTTAATCCATAATTCATGTAACACATTTCAGGATGCCAGGAGTTAGCAGGATCTCGACTTCTGCAAAGCTGAAAACACGAAGGCACTGGGAAGGCTGGGATGTGGGAACTACTTAGCAGCAATCTGAACCCGAAGGAAAGGAAATAAGGGAAATTATGTTCCATTATCATAGACATGCTCGTTAAGTTCTGCTGGGCATTTACTTTTCTGATAGAGCAATCCGAGTTCTATGGCATTGGAATGACCCTTCACTAAAGCTTTCTGAAGTAACTGAAATTAATCCTAAAAACATACATGTTAGCATAGACAGATGAGGAAATTGTCTCTATGAAAATGGTCTGGGCAGTATGTACTATTAGAGGCAAAACTTACAAATTTAAAACAAACCAAAAAATTTACAGAATACAAGGATCTTATTTTCAGCCCTATTATTTAATATTTAAATTTTAGTTACTTTTTCATGGGTCTAATGCAAGATTTCTAGAATTTTTTTTTTCATTTTCCATAATGTTAACTGAGAGAGATGTATTTAGCGTAAAAGTAGGAGGTGAATTCTGTTGTTTCCCACAAACGTCTCCGTGTCCTGCAGATGAGGGCATTGTGCAGTGAATTATAAAACACTCCAGGGGCACGGCCGGCCCTCTGCACTGTGAGTACGCCTCCTCCGTAGCGAGAAGCTGCAACTAAGCTGGTCAACGTGGAATTGTACTGCAAACTCTGTCTCTCTCTTTCCTTAAATGCTATTTCTCGTAATTCACATGACACTCGCCTTGGCTGTGGTCGTCTGTTAAATTTCCTGTTTTGGACTGGTTTCAGCGAACCAAAACAAATAGCTCACAGAAAAGGCTATGGTAACGACATTTTTTTTCCCTTTTGGTATTTCCAGTTAATAGTTCTTCCCTCAGAGGTACAGAGACAGGGAGGAAAAGAGCCACAGCCGCTGGAGAAGTAGGTCACAGCAGCTTCAAAGCGCCGAAAAATGTGCCGTCTCCGTCCTGGGATATTTGAGCGTTTTCTCGTGGTATTGCAAGTTGAAGTTCATCTCCTTCTTCCAACTTGGCAATGCCTGGGGAAGAAGGAGTTAGGATCATTTTCAGTGGTTATTCAATAGAAAAGGGGGAAAATGGCAAAAAATGTTAACATAGGCATTTACATTTCAAAATCTGTCAATGGACTTTAAACTAGTGATGAAGCTATTAATTTTAAAAAAGTAGAAATAAGCAGAAAGAGTTACAACAGATATGAATGTGTTTATCACCTACTATTTGTAAAACAGAGGCTTTGAAGTGGATGCAAATATCAAACTTTTAAAAAAATGAAGTAAATCATAGTACATCCCTCTATAGAATATTATATGAGCAGACATCAAAAAGTTCATGGAAAAATGAAAGTACAAATCTATGTTAGAATCTCCAATTTTTTAAACCCAGGCATGGTATTTTCATAATAAGCATATTCCACGAAGTTCTGAAGACCCTGTGTATAGTTAAAGCTGGGTTTTGCCTACTTTAACTAAACAGAGAAACTTCGCTTTAAATGAAAAAGCAAGGCCCAGCCACAGCGGTGTGGGTAGTAGAGTTGCTACAGGACATGAGAGCCACAGGGCGGACCCGGGTTCAGATCCTGGTCTTCCTGAGTGCAGCAGTGCATCCGGGTCTACACTAGGCTGGGAGGCTGTGGGGAGAATCTCAGTATGACAAGATTCTGATAAGGTCTCTTTCTGAGATTTCTAGAATTTTTTTTTTCATTTTCCATAATGTTAACTGAGAGAGATGTATTTAGCGTAAAAGTAGGAGGTGAATTCTGTTGTTTCCCACAAACGTCTCCGTGTCCTGCAGATGAGGGCATTGTGCAGTGAATTATAAAACACTCCAGGGGCACGGCCGGCCCTCTGCACTGTGAGTACGCCTCCTCCGTAGCGAGAAGCTGCAACTAAGCTGGTCAACGTGGAATTGTACTGCAAACTCTGTCTCTCTCTTTCCTTAAATGCTATTTCTCGTAATTCACATGACACTCGCCTTGGCTGTGGTCGTCTGTTAAATTTCCTGTTTTGGACTGGTTTCAGCGAACCAAAACAAATAGCTCACAGAAAAGGCTATGGTAACGACATTTTTTTTCCCTTTTGGTATTTCCAGTTAATAGTTCTTCCCTCAGAGGTACAGAGACAGGGAGGAAAAGAGCCACAGCCGCTGGAGAAGTAGGTCACAGCAGCTTCAAAGCGCCGAAAAATGTGCCGTCTCCGTCCTGGGATATTTGAGCGTTTTCTCGTGGTATTGCAAGTTGAAGTTCATCTCCTTCTTCCAACTTGGCAATGCCTGGGGAAGAAGGAGTTAGGATCATTTTCAGTGGTTATTCAATAGAAAAGGGGGAAAATGGCAAAAAATGTTAACATAGGCATTTACATTTCAAAATCTGTCAATGGACTTTAAACTAGTGATGAAGCTATTAATTTTAAAAAAGTAGAAATAAGCAGAAAGAGTTACAACAGATATGAATGTGTTTATCACCTACTATTTGTAAAACAGAGGCTTTGAAGTGGATGCAAATATCAAACTTTTAAAAAAATGAAGTAAATCATAGTACATCCCTCTATAGAATATTATATGAGCAGACATCAAAAAGTTCATGGAAAAATGAAAGTACAAATCTATGTTAGAATCTCCAATTTTTTAAACCCAGGCATGGTATTTTCATAATAAGCATATTCCACGAAGTTCTGAAGACCCTGTGTATAGTTAAAGCTGGGTTTTGCCTACTTTAACTAAACAGAGAAACTTCGCTTTAAATGAAAAAGCAAGGCCCAGCCACAGCGGTGTGGGTAGTAGAGTTGCTACAGGACATGAGAGCCACAGGGCGGACCCGGGTTCAGATCCTGGTCTTCCTGAGTGCAGCAGTGCATCCGGGTCTACACTAGGCTGGGAGGCTGTGGGGAGAATCTCAGTATGACAAGATTCTGATAAGGTCTCTTTCTGTCTCTGTCTCTCTGTCTCTGTCTCTCTGTCTAACGAAAAGGAAGATTTTTTTAAAAAAGGAAAAAAATCGGGACCAGCAGTTAGTGTAAAAACTATGTCGCTGGACTCCCACGTACGTAGTCGACTGCAGTTCCCGTCCCGGACATGGTGGCTTAAAACTCACGCCGGGCGCGTGTGAATGCATGACCAAGATCCCGAGAGGAGAATGGAAGAGAAGGGATTGCAGCGTGGCCATCCGCCCTGGGGGGTGATTTCTCGCTTTCTGTCTTTCTGTCTCTGTCTGCCTGGAGAGCGCACACACCCTATAGCAAAAACCTCTCCAAAAAAAAAAGAAAAGGAAAAAAATTACGCATGTTTATATTTATACTGGATAGTCCTAATTATACTTTTAAATGTGTGTATAATAAGTATAAATAATAAAAAGCCCCAAACAAAACACCATCATACATTCATTAACCTCGTTTTTCTTCTATAGTCTAAAGGATGAGTTAGGAATGACTTACACTGCCTTTATAGCCTCCTCATTTTGTTTCCCTAAATGACCATGTTTGTGTTGTCAAACATGTTTGCTAGTCGAGAACAATAAGTAATTATGTAGCTCTTTAATAATAACCAGTAAATTGGCTAGGGCCTAATTTACAATGATGAATACATCTGTGAATCAAGAATATAAGATACAATTCAGCACTTAAACACAGGTAATTCTTTTTTTTTTTTGGAGAGATTTTCACTGTAGGGCGCGTGCGCTCGCCAGACAGACAGAGAGAGACATAGAGACAGAAAGCGAGAAATCACCCCCCAGGGGGAGATGGTCACGCCGCAATCCCTTCTCCTCCATTCTCCTCTCGGGATCTTGGGCATGCACGCACACGTGCCCGGCATGAGTTTTAAGCCACCGGGCCCGGGACACGAACCGCGGTCGACTACGTGGGAGTCCAGCGACATAGCCATTCCGCTAACTGCTGGTTCCCAACACAGGTAATTCTTGATCCCACTTCGAAAGAAAATATATGTGAAGAAGAAAGAGAAGCAGTGGGGGGGACACAGAAATAAAGAAACGAACAAGCAAAATAATTCGTCTCTAAACTGTGGGGTCTTATAACCGGCAACTTACAACGAAGTTGCCTTGTTCCGTTGACACACAAGGAGAATTTGCCCCATGAACAAGTCCTTGTTTATCTCTGTCCTGTCCTGGAGCTCAGAGCACCCAGATTTACACGGACAGCAAATATGCAGTGTGTATTTACTTATTTATTTATTTATTGCTATAGGGCCTGTGCGTTCGCCAGAGAGACAGAAAGCAAAAAAATCACCACCCAGGGGGGATGGCCACGCCGCAATCCCTTCTCCATTCTCCTCTTGGGATCTTGGGCACACACGCACACGTGCCCAGCGTGAGTTTAAGCCACCGAGTCTGGGACTTGAACCGCGGTTGACTACATGGGAGTCCAGCGACATAGCCATTATGCGAACTGCTGGTCCCGCAGTGTTTATTTACTTATTTTAAACTTATCTTTATTTGCAATAAAGCATGTGCACATACATATGTGTGTGTGTGTGTATGAGAGAGAGAAAGGAGCGTCCAGACATGTCATGGTCCCCTCCCTCCAGGCCTCCAGCCCAGTGAACCCTGGGCACACCCATGTGTACTGGTGTGTTTCACGGTGAGCAGGCCGGAAATTAGACCTGCAGTTGCCATGTGGGCCTGGGTTCCTCTTGATCAGTGCATTATTGCTATGAAGCCAGCCCTCCATGTTTATTTATTAAACACCTACTATGTGCCAGACATCTTTCCACATAGAAGTTAGTAACCAAAGATAACAAAAAGTTCTGCCCATAAGGATAGTTTTGCATAATGAGCCAAGACAGACAACAAATAAAAACTTATTTTTAGGTTTTGTTTAAGGTAACATATATACTTTCTAGAATTGGCAAATCATTTGAAGATTGACTAAATAGTTTTTTAAAAAGATTTTTAAACATTTGGATTTATTTATTAAATAGATTTTAAGTTATCATAGAGATTGAAAATAACCTAGTATTTTTATAAAGATCACAGAGTACTAAGCAATAGCAACTCTAAAAGTTAAATAGGTATGACTAATGATAGGTTTTTTAAAAAAAAATCTTAACACTGAGGGGACCAGCAGTTGGTGTAATGGCTATCTCGCTGGACTCCCATGTAGTCGACCACGGTTCAACTCACACCTGGCATGTGTGCGTGTGTGCCCAAGATCCCGAGAGGAGAATGGAAGAGGAGGGATTGCGGTGTGGCCAATCCCCCTGGAGGGTGATTTCTTGCTTTCTGTCTCTCGATCTCTCTCTGTCTTTCTCGTGACCGCACACACTCTATAGCAAAAACCTC